AAACGTCTGGATTCAGTACTGAGCTCACTGCCTGATCAGCAGTTCGGATTTAGAAGAGGACTCTCCACCCTTATGCAGCTGGTTAGGATAGTGGAGTTTATTAGTTCTGCAATCCATAAATATCAGACGACGGCGTTTCTTATCCTAGATGTGGCCAAAGATTTTTACCGCGTTTGGCATAATGGGCTTATTTATAAAATGCTTCCTCTCAATGTCACCAGAGAGATGATTGTATTAATTTAGTCTTTTTTCACCAATCGCACATTTGCAATCATATACGGTAATTTCTGCTCCTCCCTCACACATAATCAGGCCGTCGTCGCCCAGGGCTCAGATTTAGGTCCTCTCTTGTACCTGATTTATGCAATGGATTTCCCGCTTTTTGACGATAACATTAACTGCATCACAGTATGTTATGCTGATGATATAGCCATTCTGTCCTGTTCCTTAAATGCTGACAATGCAATTAAATGCATACAGGGGCGCATGCAAGAAATTGAGAAATGACGTCACACCTGGAGAAACTGTATCAACGCCACCAAATCACAGCTTTTGCTTATCGGACAACATAGAAGGAAAAACGTACCCACTGAACTCACACTATTTAATGATAAAATCCTGAAAGTTAACAAAGCAACCTATTTGGGTGTGCGATTTAATACAACACTCACCTGGAACCCCCACACCTCAAGTGCTGTCGGCAAAGCAACTGGTATCGCTCGCAAACTCAACTCAATCATCAATGCATCCTCAAAACTTGATCTCGCACGGAAAAAGCACATTTATACATCAATTCTTCGCCACATACTCACTGACCTCTATTAACTGTATTAAAACATTCCATCATATATTAAAAAAATTAAAACCACACGCCATAAAATATTTAAAAAATAATAATAATTATATATGAAAAATTATAAAGAGAGAGCCTTCTAAGTTTATATTATATGTGGAGGGAAAAAGGAACAATTAATACCAGAGGTAATTATGGGCCTCTGTTTCTGAATCAGCCAGTGGAGTGTTTAGTGACCTTAACTGCTGCAACGATGAAGCTCGGGTTCGAATCCTGGAGAAGGCATGGTTGTAACTGTCTTCCCCTTCTTAGGAGGCAATGGCGGCCACCTATTAGGTGCTTACATAATGAAATTGCCACTATTTCTGGCCCTTGTAGCGGCAGAAGGCCAATGGCCCGACCATTAAAAAAAAACTTTCTCAACATACTCTATACTTTACATTCAATTATTCATTACATTATTATAACATTCATCCACTATAACTTGAAATTTTTTTTTCTCAGCCAATTCGCTTTTTAATTACATTATACATACTTAATTTCATTACGATTATTCAATTTTTACAATTAATGTTTTTAACATTAATTAAGCATTATTTTAATGAATGTTAAAAACATTAATTTTACACTTTTTATAGTTTCTTGGCTAACGTTCGAAATAATTTAATTTGCTTTCTACATTTACATCATTCTCAGAATAATTATAATAATAATAAGCTAATTGTTTTATTTTGAATTTTACCTTCAAGGTAATGAAGCATATTTTTTCAGTTTGAATTTAATATAAACAGACATGATAGGGTAAAATTTTGTGATAATTTCTATGCACTTTAAAAAACTATTTGATTTCTTGCAAATAATGTGTTACTGGAATCATGGAAGGCTAAGTTTTGTTTGGCTAAAAACTGGATGGCATATATAATTCTTTCAATAACATTGCACCAATGCTTAGTCTCTTTTTTTTTTTTAATAAAATGTAAAATTCTGAATTAACAGGTTTATTCTTTCCTAATCGTTCTTAGAAATTGAATTAACTCTTTCATTGCTTGGCATTGAACAAAAATACATCTTAAGAACTTTACATCCATTTTTGTCTTTTGGGAAACTGAAACTCGAAACCAGGTTTGGGTAATATCCAGGACCATTTTCTATTAAGGCTTGAACTTGGGATGGCAATAATGGACTTGGGCATAATCCGGAATCATCAGGTGCAGGCAAATGTGTATCTAATGGAGAAATTGTAGATTTCAATAATATGACTTCTGTTTTTTTTTTTTTTTTTTTTTTTTTTTTGACCGGCTGCATTGAAGTTAATTCACAGGTGAAAACAGCTCTACCTCTTTCTATATTTATTTCCTTTGGTAATTTCAATGGTAGCTGAGACGTTGATGGATAACTAGTGCTAGTAGCATCAGCTTGGGTATTCTCTGGGTTTTGGAAAACTGAGTAATTTTAAAGTTCTGGTTTATTAAGTCTTCCTCTTGCTTTCTTTTTCTTCATTAAATTCTGATACGCAGATAGTTTTTTTCTGTTTTTCTTCCAACATATGGGTGAAAATGAAAACAGAAAAAGTGGAAGTAAAAATAAAAGTAGAAAATAATTATTATAAGAACTATTGCGTAAAACACTTCTTAATAACACTCACTGTTTGAAATATTTTACCTTATTTCTGAAAGAGTATACCTTAAACCATTGCTTGAAAATATATGAACTATTAAATCAATATGGAATAATTCAAGGAGGTGGTGGTACTCTTTTGCTTATTAAAGTAAATAAATCAAATTTAAAGTATGTATTTAAGACGTAATGAAATAACAAAACATTTTCCTTCGGTTTTTCCGTATAGCTAAAAATTGGAAAATGGCCGATTTTTTATTTCAGAATACCTTGTATATTTTTACTTCACCTCAAATCTCAAATAGGTATATTTTAAATTCAGTGGTACTCCGTAAATATGTCAAACCTTTCTTCTCAAAAAATAATAATTTTTAATTTAATAAACAAATGGTTCATGTAAAAAAAAATCTTTCAAGTAATTATGCTCAAATCGTCAGTTTTCTGAATTTAAAAGTTAATTTAACATAATAGGTAACTGCATTTACCTTTTTTTATGTAGAATAATAATAAGAACAAGCAATCATCAAATAAATAAACAAAAAAGATAAATGTTGCACAAATTACTACGATTGCAACAGCAGACACAAAATAAGAAAGCAATTCGTTGAATGCGTCTACTGCGCCCCCCTGTACCCTTACACATGCATCGGCATCACATATTTTCGTTCACATATATTTACAAAATCAGCTCAACGTATGTCAAAAATTTCAGAAAGCATTAACTGATAAAAATCAAAATGATATAAATAGTATAAATCTTATGGAGGAACTGCAGTTTTTGCAAACTTTTGGAGGAAATGCTGCATCATTGGTTGAAACTGTATGCTCTATCATTGTCACTCTACACTATATCGTCAACAACATAGTGGTGTGAAGAAAGGATTTTTGGATATATTCCTAGATATCAGCCCTAGAGCACTTTTTGTGCCCTGTTGTAATCACAGTTTGAACCTTGTCATAAGCTATGCTGCGTAAATTCAGTGCAAACTTATTAGATATGTATATTAATTTGTTTTTAAGATAATAAATAGTGTTTAGCAACATAGTTGGTATCCAATGCGTTTAGTATATTAATTTCTTTTCGCTTGCAGTGTTACTTATTTATAACATGTTGCTGTTGTTGTTGCCAAGTGCTCACTTGTCTAACCTATAGTCAGCCTAAGCCCACAAAATTCCTCATGGCAAGCAGCACAAGATACGCCTGTTGTTGGCAACAGCCTTGAGCACCTTACATGTGACTGCAATTTAACTCAGTTTCGGCCGCAATTTTGATGGAGAACACCCTGGGGTGACGGGTTCGAGCGTCCCCTCTTCCCTTACCACCAACCTTTCAAGAGGACTTTTGCCTCACATATTTAGAATGCCCCCATGCTGCATGGACATTATACACTTACAAACATCCATGTCTCCTCCGGGATTCAAACACGGGCCCTTCGGCATGGCAGTCAGCAATGCTAACCACTGTACTGGTTGAGCAGCTTTTTACAACATAAATGTATGTATAATTCTTCAATAAATATGTTTGAGTGTGGGTTTTAACAAAGCACAAAATGTTTGTATATTTAGCCAAAAGATAAAATGCAATTGTTTCTTTGGTTTTTCATATTATTATGTTAATAATGCTTCATTTTAAGTGTTAACCGTAAGTAACCCTTTAATATCGTCACTTCATAAAGGCGCTCGTTAGACATTTGCATGATGGCGCCGATTAGGCTTGGCCTGACCACCAATGACCCCAAGTGAAATATTTTTAAGCAAAAGTGCATCATGTCTTATTAGAAATTTCTGGGTTCGTTTTATATTACAAAAGACAAATGTTGGTAAGAAATCTAACTAGATGGCAACCCAAACAATATACATCAAAAGGATGACTATTTTATTAAATACAGAATAAATACAAAAACAAAACAAATACAAAATATATTTTACCATATTATACACAGCAGGTATGAGGCTGCTGATTTCATTTAACATTGGCAAAAACATCTGTGATTTTTCATGTGATCAACACTACATAAATTCCATTAAGCAGGAATTTATATGGTGCTAGGAACTACTGCATGCTGGTGTATATTTTGACACTTTGTACGATTCTACAAATTTTCAGTAGCTCATGTATAGCATCCCATATCAAGATCAATAAGCACTTTTTGTAGTTAACTAGCCAGTGTTCATATACAGCAGCAGCAGCCAATTTTGTGGCTTTATACCCTTTTCATCAATCAGAGTACATGAAAATCTAGGAAGGAAAATTACTGGGCTGATGTTCATTCTTCTTGTTTATTTGCAAAGCTACTTATGGTGTGATATAAACAAACTACTACATTTGTTCGCTAATAACAGAAAAGAAACCATTTCCTTTGAAAAATAATAAAAGCAACTGTCTGTCTTTCGAAAACACACATTTTACTGACAGAGATTTAAGTATCTGCTACCTTAACTTATTTTTGAAAAAATTGGAAAAGTGAATATTTTCACTCTCTCTCAATTCTTCTATTTACTCTATCCCATTTTTTTAACTTATGAAATCATCATCATCATATGTTATGAATATCACAACACTCATTAAAAAAAAACAGAAAGTGGAAAGTTTGACTGGAAAAAATTTATTGCACATTAAAAAGTAACAATTACAAAAAATAAAATAATGTAAAATTTCTTTTATTCTGAATAACACGGTACGAAAAATACTTTCTGCAATATGCTTGGCAATATGAGATTCATTACTCTGTACAAAATAAATAAAAAGTTAAGTAAATACTAAATGTAAGAAAAAAAATTTATAATTTGAATAAAAGCTCATAAATGCTTTAACTGAGAAGAGACAAAAAGCATGCTTAAGCAAATAGATGATCACAGAAAGCAATATCAAAATACTGAAATACATGGCTCATATATAAGAGGACAGAAGTTTATACAGTTGTTTCGGCATCATAATCTACTTTTCCTTTCTTGGCCAAATTCCAGACATTTGTATCTCTATCTGAAATTAAAAAAAAAAAAAAAAAAAAAAAAAAAAAAAAAAAAAACAATACAACTATTAAAAGAGCCAATATATGTACATGCATTTGATCAAAATGAGATGGGGAAAGGAATATATTAAAAATACTGAAAACGAATTAAAAGAATATCAAGAAATCAAAAAATAATTAAATAAATAAAAATTATTTGTAACAATACAGAGAGAAATTTAATACCATTGTTTACAGATATAAAAAAAGGAAGGGGAGAGAGAAAATTATGAATTAAATTTGTATTTATTTTTTATTATAGTACATTATATTATTACCACTGATTTTGAAAACTGAACTGTGCCATTCAGAATACATACAGAATTATTAATTTTAGCTATACCTAAACATAAAAATCTGTTCAATAGGTATTCTATGATGTAAAGAATAAAATTCTACTTGAAAGGAGGAAATTCCAAAGTTACCTGACATTACTATTTGAACATTACTAATACAGTGAACAACTATACACTCTCCCCTAATAACTCTTAATGTTAACTAATCTTAACCTCAATTACATATTAATTTTAATTTGCTTTGTACACAAAGAATAAAATATAGCTCAATATAAATGGCAAAATATTTAAGATTAAAAATTCAGTTTGCTAACCATTTTTCATATGATGTTAAAAGAATGGAAACATGTTAACAACCAATATTAATTTAAATCCTCAAGTTTCATCCCATTCAGTAACCACTTCTGAAAAGGTATTTGACATTTAAAAGATGAAATAAATTATATATTAAACATACTTAAAGTCTGAAAAAAATCTGAATATGTAAGGAATGAAATAATTATCAAATACAAAATAACAGTGACAATTCAAATATATTTGATATTTTAAGTAGTTAGGAAAGCTTACACACTCTTTGATAGAGTAATTTTTGAATAATTTTTGAAAACAGTTTCAATATATCATCAATTACTATTTTTTTGCTCTCAAGTTCAAATTACATAAATTGAATTGTGATACAAGTCAGAGATAGCTCTTCCAATGATTTCATTTTTAGATATGAAGCAAGTGCATCTTAATATAATCATGAGATTCTGAACATTTATAATGCTTTGGAATCCTTATATACAGAGTATCCTCAAGAATAATAATAAATCTGCTAAATATAAGCTCTTGGTGCCCATATCTTACAATGGTACTGATATGAAAAGGTAATTACAAATAAATTATTCAAAGTTAACACATATTTAGATATTCATTTTTCAGTTCCCCATACACAAATGTTTTTAATGCTGTTCTTTCAATTTCTCACATTTCTTAGGATGATTTGCTGTAATGTCAAACCTCTGAATCATTGTTCTTTCAACTTGAAAAGTTCCAAGTGAGAAAGTAAATGAAAAATTAATATAAGTAAAAATCCTGTTTCACATTATACTTTGCTTAATGCTGTTTAATCTATAAATAACATTATTATGTTGGAGCATTATTATGATGAAGAACTTATTTTGTTCTCAATTTTTATGCATATTTCTTTCTTATAGTGTCCAAATGATACTAAAGGATGTCAATGGATATTTCTTAGCTAAGCATTCAAATTTAAGGATCAAATTTAAGTAAACAATACACTGGGAATTACAGAAAGCTCATTCACTCATGATATGTTTTCAGTTAGGAATACTACATTGATTCCATTCAAATCATTTATAAATTATAATTCTTTTCTATCCAAAAAGGTATTGTCAGTTATGATAATGCTGTTGAGGACTACTTTTACCAGCACATCAAATGTCTCCCCTCTCTCATTTAAACTTTTTTCTATAGGTACCAATTCTTTAGAGCCATGCTTCAACTAATACAATACTTGTTCATACCATTAATGAAAAAACTGTTACGAATCCAATAGATATTTATACTACTGCTGATTTTATTTTTTCAACAGTTCTGTAGTTAATTTTTTTTAATTACAAATATTTTCAATGTTATTAATTTTTTTAGGTTGATAAGCCATCACATTGTGACCAGTAATGCAACCTTCATGAAAACACTTTATACAATTTGTGACTTCACTGTAAGCTTCTCAGAGCACTGTTAATATCCCAGAGGATGATTTCTGAATCAGATATCAGAATCTGATATTTGATAATACTCAATGAAAGTTCAGTTTCAATGATGCTATAGGTACATTACAGAAATAAATTTCTTATGCAAATGAAATTGTCAAATCACCTGCAATGCAATTCATACCCACAGACTGCAATGCAATGCAAATTCCAGTAGCCAAATTCATTAATACTGGGAACTTTCTAAGCTATACTTTATATAAAATGATTTTAAAACAAGGTATCTCTTTAACACAAAAATATTTAAATTGCATACATTAAAATGAATTTTTGATTTTAAAACATACTTTTTACTTGTCTAGTGAGAAGAACACCTAATCCAGTCTGACCCTGCTTGTTCTTGGAGAGTAACTTGGTAGTTTCTGCTACAACATCTTCACAAACATACAACCCAACTCCATTACATGAAGTTTCAGATACAAGAAGCAGTTTTTTAACCACATCCTTTCCAAGAATGTTGTCAAATACAGCTTGTAAAAACTGGTCATTACTAATGGATAATTTCAATTTATCTCGATGCCAAACCAAAAGACGACATTCTTCCAAAGCTGTTACGGACACCTGAAATTAATAAACAGAAAAAAAGAATCAAAGATTATTAATTTTCAGATCACTATCTTATACTATTCATTAATAATTTTAATATAAGAAAAAAATAACAACAACACATACTGATACCTCAATAAAATACATGCCAAATTCTGTAAGATTTATACTTTTAATCCACACTTATTAGTATCAAATAAAAGTCTTACTTGATTATTTAGAAAGGATTATAATGGAATTAAATATATAATATAATTTAAAGGGATTAAATAGTGATTTAATTCAATTAAATCTCTTATAAGTTTCACATTTTCTAATAAGAAAAATTCAAATTGTAGTAAAGTATATCAGGATGCTAGATGAATATTCACAAAGCCTGAAATAAACTGATTTTGTTTAAATTCTGTATAGTTATAAAGAATCTTAAAGGGCATAAATAAGATTTTAGCATGGAAAGACAATATGCATCTCCAAAAATGTAAGCAAGAAAATCAAAGTTAAAATTCAAAGTAACAATCTTACTTAAATTCCTCCTATTTGAGGCAAATGAGAATAGTCAGGATAGCATCATCCAATGCTATAAACATGGTCCTCAATGTGGATAGAGCAGCACTAGCAACTTTCTTCTCCCAATTTTTTGGTTAGATTTATTAATTTTTTATGTTGCATATTTCAAGAGAAAATTTCATTTATTAAAACAAATATATTTAAAAGCAAAAAATTCTTTACGAGATAAATAATGAACTGCAATTTTTTACCTTTCCCCTTCTTCTTCTTCTTTTTTTTTTTTTTTAACAAAGTCTTTTTTTATTTGTTTCAAACTTGCTGTGCTTCTTATTTCATTTACTTAAAAATAATTTATTATAAAATCATTCAAATGAAAGTTGAGGTTAGATTAGGTTATTCAAATATGGTAAAGCACATGACATCTTTGGAAGGAATGTGGAGAACATTCTAAGGGAAACTGGCTTATAGTCGCATTAGACATAGGGGGAAATCATGAAAAATCAACTCCAAATGCAAGAAATTGACACTGGATAAATTTAATAAATGACAGTATATCACAATTTACGTATCTTGTTTTAACTACTTTGCCAATTGCTAAACGCAAACTGAAAATTGAATAAAGCAGTTTTACTTACACCTAAAATATATTCATCTCTATAACTATAAAATGAAAAATCTAATTTTCAGCAATTTTTCGAAAATTACTTGTATTTTTATATCATTCATATTAAATAATTTAATAAATTAAATTAATTCATATTAAATATGGCCATCATATTAAAATTCTAATAGCTAAAAATGTATCAACTAAAAAAATTTTATAAATTATAAAACATTCTTTTCACCCTATCTTAAAACATATATGATAACCAAATATTAATTGGGTGATTTTTCTAGAACCTTTTAAATACGATGTATCATGGCCTCTAAGCAGAAGTTTCCATTCTTCCTTGGAAATATGGTTCTGAAGATACGACGTCATTATATGTCAGACTATTTTTTTTCCCCTTCTGTACAGATGTGTTTAATATTAATTTTATTTATTTCTTTATTGACAGAAAGAGTTATTTTCAAAGAAATTAGGCTTACTATATGAATCTGCTCTCATTTTATAAAAGCTATTTCCTTTTTTTGCCTTTCTTTTTAAATTAAATAATAATAATAATAATTTTAAAAAATAAAGGGACAAGTTTTATTTTGTACTCATTTTAATTTCTAATTTTTCCTCTCTGACTTACTTTATAAAAAATAAGAGTTTAAGGACTGATTGGCATTAAAAAGTATTTGCAATGAAATTTCCTACACCATTTACATTTTTTCCATTTCAGAAGCTTGTACACATTTTTCTCAGCATTTCATTTCAAAAGAAGATTTTCTTAATTTTATTGCAATATGTAATATTATAATTCAATTTAAATCAAAGCTCTTAATAACACTTATTATTCTGACAAAACAGCATTTACAAGAGATGAGTTAGAATGCAATGATCAATGGCTTCACTGATGATCTGAAAATATACTTTAATTAAAATATTAAACCTGCTACTAACAAGAAATGTAAGCAAATCAGAAGTTATGAGATCTGATACACCACTGAAATTCTGCTAGAAAAACTTGGCCAGCCTTATTGACATCCTGAAGGTGAAATTGTAATAAATTGTCTCCATAGAGGGTCAGGTCTCATAGTAATACTCATATATGAAATAGCTGGGCTAATTGCTAATTACTATGAATCTTTGTCATCATATGATAAATCTGTCTAGAATATAGCTTTAAAAAATGCTACATAAAAATTACACTTATTAATTGCTCCACAAGATCACTTACAGCAAAACAAAGAAAGGTCAATTTGCTCATTGTTATGCTAGTCAATTTAACACAGACTACATTTCTGACCCATTTTAAGCATTCAGAATACATGGCTATGTAAACACAAACACTCTTTCTTTCACAGCCACATGCAGACAACAGGATCTCATTTAATCCAACAGACACCTTACCAACATGACAATAAAAGTCTGGGACTAGATATAATAAGCAATAAAATTATTTAAAAAAAAAGATGAAATTTGGATTGACTAGCAGGCTTATCAAAATGTTCTCAAACCTCATAGCAATAAAGTACTTCCCATCATCATCAATTGCAATCATCTCACCAACATTGGAAGCCTGAAAAACTAGTCAATCACAACCTGCATTGTATAAATCAATAAGCCTCCTATGGAAGAAAAAACAGACCCATATAATATTTTTTATTAAATAAAAATTATAATAGAAAAAATACAAATTAAGTTTGGATAAAATGGTTGAAGGATTTGCAAGTGACAGTTTTCATCAGTTAAAGCTCATTAAAAAAAAAAAAAAAAAAGTATCAGCAGTAAAATTAAGAAATACAATGAAAAAAGGAAATTTTTTTAGAATAATTTTTTGTACTATATATTGCATTATTCATCAAGAACTTTGTACCAAGAGTTTGCAGATGAATCACATCATGTAAACGGTAAATAAAACAGCAAACTTTATATATGGATGAGCTAGAAATCGTTGAAAATTTACAGAACAGCTGGAAGATACTGAAATGGACATATCATAATGAAACAAGCATGGATTTATCATAATAAAGTGAGGTGGTTTAAGTCAAGAAGCTGTATTAAAATGCTTTTTTAATTTAATGAAACAAATAAAACTGTTCATGACACAAAAAATTAAAACCATTGACTAGCTGCATTATGATGCAAGTATAACAGATTTAGCATTTTTTTTTTTTTTTTTGTTGACTAAACTTACTATTTACTATTCTCAATAAAGATACAAGACAAGAATAAATTTATCACTGACATGCCTGCTTGTAATAATACAAGCATACATGTCAATGATAAGCTTTAGGTTCAAATCCCGCGAACGGGCTGGCTGCATGGGCGTTTTCGTGGTTTTCCCCATGTGTAACGTGTATACGAGCCAGTTTCCCTTAGAAAGTCCTCCACGAAGGCATCCTCCTCTTAGGCAGATAGCCCTCGAGGCTTTGCCATAATCACACACACACAATGATACGCTTTTAAATTGCAATTATGGAAGATATAAGAAAATTTTATAAATTTCTTATATCTCAATGAAAAACCTCAAGAGTATGCAACAAAAACAACATTATTATGAGAAGAATTTCATTACCATTAAAAACAAATGTGAATAACACACCAGAAAATCTAAAAATTGAGCTAATAAATTTACAGTGTGATATAACTCTTACACAAAAATTTCAAACTTGATTAACTTTTATTCATCCCTGTTAAAAAATAAATGGTACTTATATATTAATAAAACCACCCTAGTAGAAGTTGTCAGATTTTCAGAATGTGACAAACTCTGGCAACCATGTTCAGAACAATCCTTCAGTCAAGCAACACCGCCGTTTTTGTATACCTTTTTTTTGTTGTATTCTGTTATATTCAAAGTTCCAACAGTTTTTCTAAACAAATCATGATACTGTTTGCCTTAGTTCTAAAATATGAGCTTGTGAGATTCGCAAGCAATGGAATAAACTGAGATAAAATTTCTGCAGGAAAACAGAAATTTGCAAAAGAAAATGCATTTCTTAGATAGCCATTGTTGCAAAAGGTTGCATGAAGCTCAGTCTCAGCAATTCTCTCATGTTTTTTCAAGTGAAAACAGATTGCTGTGTACTTTAAGAGAAGAACAATGCAGAAAACAATTACAGAAAAATTTGAAGAATGTAACTGTTTTATTTTTGATACATATTTATTAATTCATATTTATATTTGAAATTTCAAAAGTATGTTTCTGTTTCATATGTTTGTTACATATGTAACTGTACATAATACATGATAACCATAACTGCAATATAGAACAATAAAATAAATTATGTTCAGCTAATCTCATATTCATCATTTACACTAATCTATAACATATAAATAATATTAGTTTTCCCTTATTTAATCAAATGCCCATAATTAAAAAAAAAAAAAAAAAATAACCAGTTCATGACCAAATTACATGCAATCAAATGGAATGGATGAAAGAGATATTCACAATCTCAAGTGAATGTTATAAAAAGCTGTAGCTGACAACAAGGATCTATATTTAATATTACTGGAATATTGTAATTCTCCTGTTTTAGCAGAAGTCAACTTCAGAAATGATGTTTGGAAGAAAAGTAAATAGATTGATGCCTATCAAAATGAATTTCATCTAAACTAAACAACATGAAGAGCATAAACAACATTTACTGAAAATTCTTTATGAAAAAGCTGTTATGATACGAATGCAAGACCATTAAAACCACTGAAGGTAGGAAATCAAGTGTACAACTAGCACAGAAAAAATGGGACAGTTCTATATATCCCGCTCCACAGGGCTTATTGACGAAATTTACCTTGAATTTTTCATGTCTCAAAGGTGCAATTTAGGATATATATTAGACTTATATGTAGGATTGTTCTAATGTAGGTGGTCTGACACAAAACTGGACTTTTTCTGAAATTACATACTCATACTTTTTTCCCTATTTCAATTCTACTACTCAAATTTTCCCAAAAAAACAAGTTTTGAAAAAAGTAGCAAGAGCAGTTATTCAAAAATTAGCTCTCAAATTTAAGCTTCTCAATGTTAACTGAATTTCCATAACAGTGATCCCTCATTTTTCACGGTTAATGGGAACCAGAACCTTCCGCGAAAGCTGAAAAACCGTGAAATAATATTTGCCCCTAGGAATTTTCGTGCATGCGGGTACAAGAATGTTTTAAATATGTACACAGTATTTATACTTTACACATTTAAGACAAAAATTACAACAGTATATGTATTTACTTAAATATGTCAATGCTAATTAATTAGTTAATTACAAAACCTTATCAGTAAAAAACATTAATCAACATTGCTTTCTGAGAGAGGCGAAGAGTCTTGTGTTGGTGGCGGAGGACAGGGTAATGTAGGGTAAATTTTAACTAAATTTTTATTTCATATGCTTTTTTTTTTTAAAGTTATCATTAATGAACAGGAAGTACTTACGGTCTTTAAAGCTAAAGAAACAACTGCTTTTTCATCAATTCAGAAAGTCAACAGTGATTTGTCAACTTTGTCCATTGGAGTTAGTATATTTGAAAAGCCCCTAATTTTTCATCAAGGCTATAAACTTTATCAGAATCAAAATGCCATCAGGTTTTAGTTATATAAATAAGTTTAAACCATTTACATATAAAACGTGTACTTTTTCTTTATATGTCAAAAAAAATTTAATGATATTAAATTAATAATTAATTTTATATTTAATTAATTTAATTATCAGTTGTTGTTATTTATTTCCATGTTTTGTCCTCCCTGGAATGTTTTTAAAGTTAAGATAAAAATTAATTATTTGGTGGTTTATTCAATTTATTAGAATTATTTGAAATGAATGCAAGTCTGAAAATTTAATATTTAATTGTTAGTATGTTACAAGTTCTAACCAACAGAAATTTCTTGCAACCTTTAGTTTTCAGATAGGAAACAAATATATATTTGAATTTTACAATGTTTGTTTATCACTCTGAAAATCCACAGGTCAGAAAAGACATTTTCAAATCTATAAAAAAATCTTCTCTGTTTATATCTAAAAAACAGAAATCAGATAGAGAAATCTATATAAGAACTGGTCTATTTAATAACTGTTTTATTACTCATTTTTTACTGAAGGGCATTACTATTGTCAGAAAAAACAATTTCTAACCACTAACATTAACAACTACCAGATAACACTCTTACTGATTTGGAAAATCTGAATATACTTGAAATATGAATTGTAGGTAATATGCATTATTGCAAACAAATACTATGCTTACAATGTAGTTCATGAAATTAGGTCTTATGGGGGCTATAAATGTACAATATGTCATGTCGTTTCATAATTAATTGAAGCTATTGGCAATCAATAATCAGAATTTATCACACTTAAATACTTAAAATTTAAAATATTATTTAACATCAATTTTGATAAATCTGTCTTTACTACTGGTGATAAGTACTTACTGCTCTCCTGTTTACTACTTACTGAATCAATGAAAGTATTAGGGAAAATTTCAGTACACATCTCTGGTAGAAATGCAGAAATGTTCAAAAGATCAGAAATATTCAATATCATAAGAGAAGATAGAGAGCAGTACCTTGACCAATTTTGGGATAGGATTAAAAACAAAACATTTTTTTTTTTTTTAAATCTAAAGGTTTCAGATTTTAAATTACATCTAAAGGGAGTGTTTTTTCAACATTTTGTGTATTACCTTTATTTATTAAATATTATGTTCTTCACACTCAAACCATAAAATTCAGTTCAACAGCAATATCGTAAAATAATTTTTAAATGAGCATATCTTTAAAATTTCGGATAAGAGAGTCTCATGGCGCTGAAGATAAAATTTTCTTTTTCTGTACAGTGTTGCCATTGCTCGCTTTGAAATCGTTTAGTTTTTTTAAATCAAAAATTTGTTAAACTGTTACAAAATATGAATCGATAAAACAAATTTCAAATTCAACTTAAGGCTTCCACATGCCCATATTCTATGGAAGATTATGTTATTCAAATTTTGATGGCTCTAGGTACTGTTGTTTTTATCACAATGTGAGAAACATACATACATTCATACAGATTCTTCATTATTTAATTTCTTTAAATATAATACAGAGCAATAATATTTGGTGGCAACAATTTGAAAAGTGAAACAACGCTTATCATAAATCGACACAAAATGCCAAAACGAAATTAATAGTCCTTATACGGAAATTGCCTCTTTGGACTAAAAATAAATAATCATAAAAAAATTCATAATAATGTATTTATTTTTCGTTAATCAAGTTTTCTTAACATGCTTATATTATGAAAGACATTAAAGAGAAAATGCAATTAGCATTGAATTGCTCACTTGATAATTATCATTCGTGCACACTCCAAACCATTCAGGTGAATCTAAAAACTGCTTGCTATCTACAATATGCAGAGCATGCCCATGCTGAGAAACAACCAACCTAAATAAATATTAATAATGATGATTTTATTACATGTTTTATATAAACAATAAACATATTTTTACAAAACAAGACAAATTTTAACAGATACCAAAACGAAACAAACACAAACGAAACAAACACAGCGCAAAAATATTTATAAAACCAATTTTTCAAAAGATATTTTTTCGAGATAAAGTTATAAATTTTCACAGGAGGGAACTTCAAAAATTAATAATTAATTAATTATAAGTTAATAATAAAAAAGCAATAGACATGATTTATAAATAAATCGGAGTATTAATGAGCTCACTAAAAGAATCATTAACTTTATTAAATGAATACAGTAAATATAACAGCTGAGACCTTTTTTTAACTCGATGTGAGACAAAACTTTTGCAAATTAAAAACTTTGTTTGACATATAATGTTACAATTTCAATCAATTAATATTCTTGGTTAGTTTTTTTTTCATTTGCTCACAGGTTATGGTGGAAGCAAGTTAAAAAAATCTCTGGGTTACAAACAATTCTTGTCCTTTGCAGTGATCTGACTATTGATGATACTCAATACCAATGTCTTATCTCTATTCTGAGAAATACTGTTCTGAGGAAATACAGAAATTTCTGTTTCCAGAAATACTACTTATTCTTAAAAATACTTGTCATTAGAAGTTTCACAGTATTTATTATTGAATTTTTTAATTTTTCAGGCATTTCATATGTTTTCTGAATAAAATATTTAACTTATACTCTTAACAGTTCTTTGTCAAAACGTTGTTGTTCAGTTAGTTAAAAGCTTTTCTTCTCATATTTACATTCTGCAGTACTTTCAAAAACTGATGGTTAGGTCTTCAGCTGATTTAATTTTACTGCCCCTATTTCAGGTAAAAATTCAATAAAAATCAAGAACTTTCCAAAAAGCAGATTTTTATTTTTTCTCAATTTTATACTTTTTCTAAAAATATATACCTACAAAGCAAGGCTGATTACTGAATATACTTCCAATCCCACAAAAACATTTTCATGAACCATATGGAGAGACAGTAACAAAATTCAACCTAGCTTACCAAGTACAAGAATATTTACAGAATGTATGGCATTTTCTGGAATATATCCTGAAGCGGAATACTACACTAAAATGTAGAACTACCTTGCACAATAAAGAATGCTTGGTCATTTTACAATCAGCAGACAGTAGAAAGTGAAATTGGTTTCAATTTGTGGCCCACATAGAAGCAAACCACTAAAATCTATATGGCATTAGTTATGCCAGAAATTAAATCAATAGAAAACAAATTACTAAACAGAAATATATACAAAAGCCTTACACATGTTTAATACTAATTTCAAAAAATAAAAAATTAAAATACAGACATAAACTACATAAATCCTTGCACAATCCAACAACTATCCTTCTTAACAAACCATTTTGATTTACAAGACTCAAGAAACAAGATTCTTGACAACCAACATAATTTTCAAAAATGAATACAGTCAAAAGTCGTTAATCCGGACTTGTCGGGACTTCGGCGATTCTGAATTATCGATTTTTCCGGATTATAGATCATCAGTTTAAATCTGGTAAGATGGCACGCAGAAATTACAAAATTAAAAATATGAAACCGTAATTTATGAAATAAAGAACAATTATGATCTAAAGGGTATCAAAATTTACAAAAAAAAAAAAAAAAAAAAAAAGCTTAATATTTATTTTTTACTTTATTAAACATTTCTTTTCAATGTAAGTTTGCTGCTTCGTTTCATGTGATAATACTTTCTCTTTAATTCTATTAAACAGACATAATTTTCTTGTTTAGTTACAAAGTTCCGCTGTTCAAGTCCTATAATTGCTGTGTTTCGAGAATACCGACTAATTTGTCAATCGAAATGTTTTCGTTTTCAATAACCTCTGGGTCACTTTCTTCACTATCGGAAGCGAATTATAATGACGAGGAACTTGATTTAAATCATATCAAAGACGGAGTACATCGAGATGAAATACTACATTTAGTAAGGAATTATAAGCCAAATAAAATAAAAACATCTGCCTCTGAAGATAAGGATAGTGCTGACAGATCAACTTCCAATTCCGCTGGCGTTGCAAATTGAAATAAACAGATTTCGGATTTCAAAACATACTTTCGCTTTGTAGATCAAATTTACATATTAGTAAACATATATCGGAAATTCTATTATTTGACATAATCGAAAGTTCAAGCTTACTTTTATGAACTTGCTCTAACAGTCTGCAAAAAATAATAAGCCGGATCCAATTCGAAGATTAAGGAACAACGCAATCTGCAACATTAACTGAATTAGATAATTTTAGCTTAGCTTATACCGTCCGTTACACATTAAACGCGCATGCGCCCACACATATTCGCAGCCGTAAAGGTCTTACGCGCACTTGTAAACGCCTGTGCGCATGTGTGAACACGACGCATGCACAGAAAGTTTGTAGTTTTGAGGTCCGGATTATGGGTGTTCGAATTAACGACTTTTGACTGTATTGTAAATAAATGACTTTATCCTGAAGCAATTCTTTAAATACATCCTAATATATATCAAAATTAAATAATTTATCTAATAAATTTCTCTAATCTTTAACAAAGTGATTCCTTATTTTTTATCCTTTATTAACAGTAATATAACTTTATTAACAGTAATCCACTTATTTAACAGTATATTTATAATTTAGAGAGATGCAAAAATTAAATTAGCAATAATATTTTCCTTTGGGATACAACTTATCCAAAAAGAAAAATGCTGTTTTCTATCAAGCCTTCAAATAATTATGCTGTTAAATGTTCCCATATATGTATTTGTGCTGCTCAACCAGGATAGTGGTTAGTGTAGTGATTCTCAACCACTGTGCCGCGGCACTTTTTGAGTGCCACCAAATTCTTAGTGTGCCACTAAATTTTAGAAATGTATATAATAAAAATTATAGGTACTTATTAGGTATTATCGCAACCAGGTTGGCACTATTTGTAAGTTTGAGTAAAAAAGTATGAATAGAAAGAAAATGTACATTTATTAATTACAGATATTTTTATACAGTTTTTTATATTTTTTGTTAAATATAAAATAGCAATTAAACCCTTCTGGTTTCGATTTGAATAAGTTGCAGAATATTTTTTCAGTGGAAATCTTTTGGCTATTGCTTTTAGCACTGATTGAAAACCGTATTAGTTTTGTAAAAAGAGCTGTGGAGATTCACAAAATTTTCCTGCTTTTCGTCAAATTTTTGTAATTATGAGGAAATAGCAGTGTACATGATAAAGTCAGAGTGTGCGCATGCCATTTTGTGCAATTCTGGGATGTTTCTTTAAGTAAAATAAGTCGACGTGTAATGGATTGCTTTTAGCACTGATTGAAACCGTATAGCCATAACCATGTACTCATCGACTTATTTTTACTTAAAAAAAATCCCAGAATTGCAAAAAATGGTATTGCGCACACTCTGATGTTATCCATGTACACTGCTATTTCTCATAAATTACAAAATTTGCACGAAAATGCAGGAAAATTTTTGTGAATCTCCACATGCTCTTTTTACAAAACTACGTATAACACGTAGGGTTGCCGTAAGTAGGGTCGCCAAATTTGGCAATTTATGCCAATTTTGGCCTGGTTGCGTTAATACGTAAGTACCAAATTATAATGGGTTTAATCTGGTACACAAGATAATAATAATAATGAGTTTAATATGGTACACATGAGAATTGGCAAAATTCGGTTTTTAAGATGTTAATAAGTGCATCAATTGTGGTAGTCAAGTCAATTTTCGTGTTGAATAATTCTGTATTTGAATTAACACTGAACGAAGACGAAGAACTAATTTCGCTTTCTAATAATCGAGATTTAATTTAAAAATATTTGGAAGAATCAATTAATTCATTTTGGATTAATGCGATTATCCCACGATGGCCAAAAAAGCTTTAAAAATATACTTACAGTTTTCTACATCTTATTTGTGTGAATTCGGATTTTCAGTATCAACCAACATAAAAGTGAATAAAAGATCGAGATTGTTAAATGTAGAACACGATATGAGAATAGCATTGTTATTTTCACGACCAAATATAAATGAAATTATCAAAAAAACATCAAGCTCAAATTTCTCATTAAAAGTATTCTTATTATTAACTTGTAATTAATCCCTTAATAAATGTACTGCTATTTTTTTAATACATATTATTTTATTTACATTTAAAATTATTATTACATGGTGTATTGTACGTAAGTAAACTTTTAAACTTATCTTTTTCTTTGGATGCTGCCAAATTTTGGAATAATTAAAAGTGTGCCCCGCAAAAAAAAAAAAAAAAAAAAAGTTGAGAATCACTGGGTTAGTGACTTTGATTGCTACACTGAAGGGTCTGGGTTCAAATCCCTGAGAAGCCTTTTCTGTTTGTAAATGTATAGTGTCTGCATGGCATGGGGGCATTCTAAATATATTTTGGTGGTAGGAGGAAGAGGGGTGGGATACTCTCTCAGACCCATCCCACTGGGATGCTCTCCATCAAAATTAGGGGCCAATCAATTTAGTGTTAAACATGTGTAAGGCTTTTGCATATATTTCTGTTCTTTAACAATTTGTTTTCTATTGATTTAATTTCTGGCAGAATGTACTAAATACCATACAGATTTTAGTGGTTTGCTTCTACACGTGCCACAAATTCAAACCTACTTCACTTTCTACTGTCTACTGATTATAAAATGACCATGCATTCTTTATTACACTAGGTAGTTCTACATTTCAGAGCAGTATTCTGCTTCAAGATAAGCAAAGTTGTACTGTCATCTGCATGGTGCTCAAGGATCTTGCCAACGACAAACGCAATCTTGTACTCCCTGCCACGATGAATTTCATAGACTTGTTCTGATGTTGCTGTCAGACAAGTGAGGTAAGTTACAACATATATGTAATTGTGTATGTTTGATAAATGAATAAAAATATGCCCTTTATTTATAACATAGTAAAATCAATTTTATGCTTTAATATCAAATGACCATGTAAATTGCATAAATTCTGTTATTCGAAAATAACACTCTATCCAATTTTGGACCTTGAGCTCCTTTCAAAATTCACATCAAAACTTAATACATTTTAGTTAGAAAGGGGGAAAAAAAGCCTTTATGTATGAGACTTATTTCTCTTTAAACTACAGGAAGTTTTTAAAATAGGTTCCAGATAAATATTTTTGTGAGGTACAGATCAGCATGAACTTCTTTTTCTCAAAAATTTTTGCATATTCAAAGTAGTTTAAAAATTACATACCTGCCCGACAGCACTAGTGACAACCTATCTACTTTGGTAACATTTTCGATACAGTAGGGCTCACGTGGCTTTAAAGTCTTAATTTCTCTCATACAATGTATAGCTTGTCTAAACTGATGGCGAGTTACTCTCAATGGTTGGAACAGATCTCGATAAACTTCTTCAATTTCTTCACTGAACTTTACAGGCCTTAACATATATAAAATTATCGTCACATGAATAAAATTTATGAGTGTGAACACTGCATTCCATATGAGAGTATCCAAGGCACAAAGAATTATCCAACCCCAAAGGGCAAAAAATATAGATCCTATCATTAAACATGTTCTTAAATAAAGTAACCCATGGATTCCAACCGGCGCTAAGTAAGATAAAAACAAAAATGCATTTGCCAGTTGGAATAAAATGTGGTTTGGAGGTAACCACTGATCAAAACACAGTGTCCAACTAAAATCTGCTGATGAAGAAACGTTACCATTTTTCAAAATGTTTTCTGAGAAATTAAAGTTCACATTTTCCATATGGCTAGGCGTGTTGGGAAGTAATGTAAGGCTGGAATCCGCAGAACTGTTGAGTACGAGGACATTTAAATCCGCTATAAAACCATATCGTATTAAATCAATTTTGTAGACAGCATTCATAAGCATGCCGCTTCATTCCTCTTACAATAACATTCGTCATTTCACAATGCAGATCATGTGTTATTTCAAGAAAAGAAATGACGTAAAAGCTGTCATAGTTTTTCAAACTATGTACAGTTGACAGTTTCTCATTTTAATATGTACGAAAACACAACACTCGAAAATCCGTAATCTGAAACTTAATTTCAAGGTCAATCTTTTCAGTCATTCGATACCCTTAACATTTGACAAAACAAAGTAATCACAAAATAAAACTAAAAAGTGTTCTTAAATGATTAGTTCTATTTTTCACCACTAGAGCTAAAGTTTTATATTTAGACCTGAGAATGTCGTGGATGCAATTGAAATATGTAAAACTTAAAACCTCAAGACTAGTATCTAAGCTTTAGTTTATCATATCCATATTACACAAGCTCTAATTACATCAAGCAATCACGGCACATCATTAGTGGGACCTAAAGGAAAGCCCGCTTACACTTACGGAGCTTCGAGCCTGAGAAAGGCTAGCGAATTTGGAGGCTCTACCTGACGGCATTTTACATTTGTAAATGTTTTTAACGTTTTATTATTTCCATGAATTGCTGAAATATTTCATTTTTGAGATTTTAATGATATTATCGTTTAGGTTATTTAATTGTTTTATGCAATAAAATATCTAGATACTGAATTTTATCACAAAAAGAAAGAATGCCTGGCCTTTTTTACTTCCTTGGATGAAGTAAAGGAAGTGCTATCGCAAAAAATTTTGATATCACATTTCAACGACAATATGCATTTTGAACTGTCCCGAATCCATTTGGATGATTTTGTGTGTGTGAGTGTGTATGACGTCTCTACATGGCCTCTGTCAGAATAAAGGACACAGACTTATTCTGACAGAGACTGTAAAATGGATTCAAATGGATTTTTTCGCGACATTTGTACCTACGTATGTATGTATGAATGTATGTATCTAAGTATATATCTCACATAACTCACAAACAATTAGCCGTATAGCGTTGAAATTTTGTGTATGAGACTGCTATGATATCTTGTTGTGCGCCACATACCCATCTCCCTTACTCGGCTGAAAACTCCTAACCCGGCCTTTATTTTCGCAATCATTGGTAGTAATCATATGCTTCCAATTACAGAAGTATTTTAATGAAGGAAAATGTTCCTGTTTCGGGAGTGTCAAGTTAATAATAATAATAATAATAATTTTCGACAAATAGAGATATCTAACTTTTAAAGTCGTCCCCAATTCCTATGCTTATATTTGCAAAAGACTCTTTATAAAATAATAAAATTGTAAGAAGTTTGACTCCCGTACGACAAAAATAAGACAAGATATTTAATTTCAAAATTGGCAATTTTTACGTAATTTTCAACTTGTCTTGAGAGCTCAGTTAATTAAGTGAAACTAATTCGAAGAAATAAATTTTAAAAAAAGTTGCAGTAAAAATGTCTAGAATTTAAGAGGCCGTACAAGGAAGCAATGGGGTGTAACATCAGATTTTTTTAACAAGATGTAAAGTTCATGTGCTTTTCGTATTCTCAAAGTTTCCCTAGTGTAAACAAGTCTTTTACCTGAAAATAGAATTAAAATGCAGAAAACCAGTTTCCAAAATTTGAATGAAGAAAAATTGGCGAGTTAATCGCCCACAGATAAAAGCTGTCTTAAATTAACAGTTACCCCCTCAATAATTTGCTCACGACTTGAAATAAGCTGGAAGCAGTTACAAGAACTTTTCAGCAAGTATATAGCATCAAAGATTTTGCAGGCGTTGTCCGTTTGGACAGGATTAAGATTGAAGAACTTGCAGCAAGAAATTCCCAGCCCCACTTTGGTAGATTTTGTGTTCAAGGGTCTTTTTTGTTAAAAAAATAGTTCTTTGCATTGGAGTAGCCGTAAAAAATCATTTTGCTAGCACTTTTAACTGGGACAAATGTCTAGAACATAAATTTAAAAATTAATTTTTAAAACTTTTTTAATTTTTCGAAAATTTGAAAATGTGGAGCTGGGCCCTTTTTGCTGCAAGCCCTTTATCTTCAAGACAAAGGCTGCAAAAGCAATGAATGTGTACTCTCTGCTGAGTGCAGTACACGTTTCGTCCCAGACAGGAAATAGCAATTAAAGTCATTTTCGAGGCCTGGAGGCTAATTTTACAGAACAAGAAATTCAGGAAGAAAACCGTGGCCATAGAAATCTGAATGAAAATGTGAAATAGTTCTCTCGCAGAGTCGTCGACCAAGTCGTTGGAATCATTGTATTTTTATTGCAAGTATCGAGAAACAACGAGACAACAAAGACCTTCGGACTTAAATTTCTTCTCCATATGAGGGTGAGAGTCGCCGGTTTTAAACCATGGAAATTCCTGCCACAGTTGTTTTCGATGCAAACGCTTCGGACACTCCCAATTCAGCTGTTATAATTCCCAGTTTCAGCTGTTATAATTGTATAAGCTCCTCCCAATTCAGCTGTTATAATTGTATAAGCTACATGAAGTATTCAAAGAACGATGCTGCTTCGGCGAACCCACAGCTGAATCGAAGTTATGTTTCGAATTTCTCAAGTTGAGGGAAATCATGGCTACAAAGCCGGAAACTCCAACGGGCTAAAACTTTCGCTCAAACCCTTAGAATGGAGTCTGCAAAAAAAAAAAAAAAAAAAACTTCTTGAGAAGAATATTCATGTCGAAAAGGAAATAAAAGATATTCTCAGTGATGAAACGCTAAAAGAATGTCTTCAGAAATTCCGGCAACTTGTCGATGTTTGCAAGCAAGCTGGATGCCTTTGTGAAACCTGAGTGCAGAACTTAGAGCCGTTGAATATCTTGAAAAGACTGACTGCTATAATATTTAAAATTTGTAAAAATCTCTATGACAACTCGAAATACCGCGCTGCTTCTTCTGCCCACTAAACACAGGGAGCCACTTGTCCAGTCTGTTCGCTTTATCTATGACAGGAGCACCATACTGGAAAAATTCTGAACAGATTCTGCTTTTCACGTCAACTTTCGAACTTTAGAGAAATTTTTTCGTTCTAATTTTTAGCTCGCAATACTTCGAAAATAGGATCTATTTCGATAGAGGTTGAAGCTTGAGCTCGAGTACTCCGCTATTGCACTGTTAATGCTTTGTGCACTCTAAATTAAAGTCGAGCACCTGAATCCACAAAATCGTTATCTGAGTTTTTACTAAAAGTTTGACGGAGAAAGATTAAAAAAGTCGAAGAAAGAAATGTTAGATACTCGAAGTTTCAAAATATAAGCCAAGACAGTATACATGCTGACTTAATTGAAATACAATTCAAATGCATTTGTTACTAACGTCTCGTTGTTTCAACCTGGATTAGGATGAGGATATCGATTCGCATCTCAATAGTCGTAATTAAATACAAGTGAGGATGGATGAAAATTCGTACCGATCTTTGCGTATTTGCTTAGCTTATACGTTATTTCTCAGAGCGTTTTGGGGGACGGGTGCAAATCCATTATCGGAATTATAAAGCCTCTTGCGGTTTTTGTGGTCGGAACTTTGACGTATTTTCCCCTTTCTGTCTGCACTTGCACATGTTCGAATAACGATAATTTTTATTTATGTGGAGGTTATTAATCTTCAATATAACCTGATTACTGAAATTAATTAAACACAAAAATGCCTAACGCATTAGCAAGTAGCATAAATTAAATTAACTGATTCATTTCTATGCTTAATAACATAACATTTAATTAACATAATACAAATCGCATGGCTGTAGACGTAAGACAAACATTTGCATAAACGTAAGATATGCGCCCGGTTTGTACCACACTCGCTGTCAGGCGAGCAAAAGCAATTCCGGATAGAAACCTCTGGAGATTTTATCGACATGTGTGACCGGAATCCGCAATTCTTGGAAACAATAATTACAAGGGCTGAGTCGTGGTGCTATCAATACGATTCGGAGACCAAGCGGCAATCCATGGCATGGTGTTCAACGTCGTCACCCCCTCCCAAAAAAGTCGTTTGACGCAGTCCAGGATCAAGACGTTGTTGATCGGCTTTTTCGACAGTAAGGGTTTGATCCATCGTGAATCGTTTGATCCATCGTGCGGCTACCAACTTCAATGCGGGATACTACGAGGAGGTTTTGAAACGGCTGATGCTACAAATACTGCTGCCACAGTACCGGAATGGACAGTGGAATCTGCTCCATGACAACGCCCGGCAGCACACTGCGATCCGTGTAACCCAATTCCTTGACAAGCACCAGGTTCCAGTTTTGGATCACCCTCCATATTCTCCAGATCTGGCTCCCGCGGACTTCGTCTTCCTTTTTCCCCGCCTCAAAGGAGTTCTGAAAGGCCAACACTGTTTCCGACATTACTGAGATCCAACAACGTGTGAACAACGGTGCTTCGAGCCATACCGAAAGAAGTGTTTGCAGACAGTTTCCAACAATTGTACACCCGATGTCAAAAGTGTATTGTTGCTAATGGTGAATACTTTGAAGGCCAGTAAAGCAATTTTGCTTGTTTCTCTTGTTTCCTTTATTTATGGTAAAATTCACCGAACGTTTCGAACTCATCTTGTATACATTATATATAGGAAGTTCAGTGTATATTAACTTCACTTAAAATGTAATGACTCCTAAATGGGTCACAAATTAGAAGCATATTTTATCATATGATTTCGGAGCATAATCATGGTTTTAAGTCTGATAAAATTGAAATGCCACTGAAGTAGGAATACCTGATTAGCATAGAATTGCTGCTTCTTTGGCCTTGATAAAGGCTGTCACACGACGAGGCATTGATTAGACAGCTCTAGGGTTCCAGAGGTATGGCCTTCTTTTTTCTTTTAGGACTTTCCATAAATCAGTTAAGGACGCTAGTGGTGGATCACGTGATCGCATTCATTTATTTCGAAAGGTGTTCAATGAGATTTACGTTTGAGATTTTGCATGCCATTTCAGTAGGGCGAATTCAATGAAATGACCTTCAAAGATAACCATCCCGAATCCGTTAGAGGATTAGTTGCTCTACTGGAATATTCCATTTCTGTCGTAATAGTAAAAAGCGCAAAAGAGTATAAGTAACCACCTAGTATATCTACGTGCTTAGATGCAGCTACAATACTTAGTAAAATTTTGAAATTCTTAGATATACCAAAAAAGACACTCCAAACTATCATTGATCCCCTGAAACCTTGTACAGCCTTGTTCCCCTGTAATCTTGTACAGATGCAACCTGATACGCTGGACCCGTAATTTCACGGAGCTGACGCCATATTTCTTAGTCTACTTATGGCTCAATGATACTTTCGTTCCCAGTTTTCGATGATCAGTACGGTGTTCTGTTACTCATGCAAGACACTGAGCATGGATGCATACAGTGAGAAGTGGTTTTTCTCGTTATCTTCAGCTTATGTAACCCATATGGTGAAGCGAACTCTCCACAATCTTGTCTACTAACTGTCTGACTG